CCGGCGCGGGGGGCGCCGGCGAGCGGCGGAAGGGGCCGCGCTGGAGGCACCGCGGCTGCAGGCTCCCTCGGCCCGCACCGGGCTTCTCCTCCCCCTCCCCGTCCCCCGGGCCCTTTTGTTTTCCATGGCACCGACCCACACCAGAGCTCGCCTTCGTAGGCTCTGCGATCACAGGGAAAACAACTCCGGGCCTTCCCGCCCTCCTCCCAGTGAATTCCTGGTGGAGACGAACTGCTCCTGGCCCGGCTCTCTGTCCCGGGAGCTGTCGGGCTGCGCAGCTCCAGCCTGGGCAGGCAGGATGCTGCGCACAGCGCCCAAAGGCTCTGCAGCCCGGGGGTCCCAAACCTCACACCTCCAACTGCGGGGTTCTGTCCTCGCAGGGGACATCTTGGGGACATTAGGATGGTAGATGAGTGGCTTCTGATGGGAGAAGAGGAGGGGAGAGGGCTGTCTGGTGAGTTGCCTCTCACAGCTTCTGTGTCTCAGAGGCCGGTGGGATGCCCTGCCGCAGGGCTGCGTGGGCTCGGGGCAAGGTGGGAAGGAGGGTGGGATGTGTTTGGGTTTGAGTAGTGTGGACTGGGGTGGTGTGACACCCACGGTCATCTTTCTGCCCTGCAATAAACTACTTGTAAAAGCTTTTAAAAGCAGATCAGGTGTGAGTTTGTCCTGCAGCCACTGTCCTCCTGCCTGGCAAGAGAACTCAGGCAGCCCATTGCTTCTTCCTTCAGGACAGACATGGCAGTCTGGGAGATCGGGGTACAGGGATGTCCCTGCTCCCTGCCTCATTCTGCCACATGTATCCACTGGCCAGCTGGGCATCTCTTGTAGGAAAGCCATCTGCTGCAGGGATGATGTTAGAACAACACCATGTGAGTTGCCCTCAGCCTGCAAGCACTGAGGTGCCCGGTGCTCAGAATTGTGCAGTGTTCAAAAACTTCTCCAGTCCTTCCCCAGGAGACCAGTGCAGCCCTGAGACAGGGGCCCAGGGTGGTGCAAAGATCTCTGTCCTTGGGGAGAATCCAACCCTATGTGGAAAAGGCCCTGAGCAACCTGATATATTCCTGAAGTTGGCCCTCTTTAGAGCATGGGTTTGGACCAGACCTTCCAGTGGTAGCTTCCAATCTGGATACCCTGTGTTCCTAAAGAGGAGGAGAAGGGGACGAACACGAAGCTCGATCATGAGCTCCCAACTATAGTAGAGGAAATGATAAACTCATTGTGACAATTCAGCAGGGCTCTTGCAGCTCTGTCCTTTTCCAAGATGAAACCTGCTGAGAAAGCCAAAGGAGGGGCAGGCTTGTGGCACATGCAGCTTTTGCAATCAGCCTGTGAAAGGTGAGGACTTGCCCAGGGAGCTTGGATTCAGCCCCCGTCACCTGAGATGGCAGATGGTAGTGATGCCCCATGGGCAGCCTTCACCCTGCTCAGCACCCTGGCACGATGTGGCCTCCCAGGCTTCCCACGTTGGCTCTGTAAGATGGGAAAACTCAGCCACAACACTAATTTCGGGAGACCCAGCCACAGCTCGCTGTCTTCACACTTGTGCTGACGCAACTGTCACTAAGGCCAGGCTGTGAACAGGACTGGGGTTAAAAATAGTGCCGTGCAAAGGAGAAGAGGATTATTTTGAATCTAGATCAGTTCATTGGGTGGGTTTACAGCATGGCTTTGACATGGCTGTGGGACTTGCAGGCTGCTGTGGATTGAGACAGGCAGCCAGGAGCAGGAATTTTCTGATTCACCCTTGAGACAAGGTTAAGGCAGCACAAACTCACTGTGGTGGGATCAGTACCTGCTTTGTAAGATATTATGGAGGGGCTGCATTCAATCCCTGGCCTTCTTGACTGTGATGCTTTGACAAGGCCAACGAGGGGTTATTTCCTGGCCCCCCTTTTCTCACTGCTCTGAAGCATGAGGCCCATGCTGGGGCTAAGTTGCAGCTATCCTGTTAGTTGCTCCAGTGAGCACTAAAACCTGGCAGTACACTAGTGTCAAAGACGCAGATTTGCCTTGTTCTTTCTCTGATCTTGCCACAGAAAGACCCTGTGGGTTGATATCGCTGGCTTCCCTGATCCTGGAGCACGTCGGACTGACGTCAGGCTGGAGATGCAAGGCCCTGATGGCAGAGCCTCTGATCCGCGCTTAGGGCTGCCTACCCACACTATGAAGTGACGTGGCCCACTGACCACACTGGCATGTCCTAATCAGCTTCTGAGGACATCTGGGAGGGTTCTGGGATTTTAAACCAGCGGAGGACACAGAACAAGAATGACTTCACAGGAACTGGCCTAATTCCACCTGCTTACATCAGTGAAGCAGATCAAAGATGCTGCTCTGGCTAATTCTACAGGGACCGTAGGACTTGCACTTCCTGGATCATTGCTGGAGGATTTTCATTTCATTTCACCCCCCTGGACACCATGGCTGTGGGGAAACAACAGTGTTACTGCTTCCATACAGGCTGTGGAGGCCCTAGGAGAGGTTTGGAGCTGCTGTTACTGTGCAGCTGCATTATCACACAGCCCTGCTTAGCCTCTTTGCAGCTGTGGGATTTTCACTGTCTTCTGCAGGGTCTCTGGCCCCTTCATCTGAATGACCCCCAGAAGGTGCGACCAAGGACCTTGCTTCAGTAGCAGTGGGTGAGATCTCTAATGTTGGGGGTGGCCATAACAAGGGGAAAACTGCGACATTATTTTGCCTTGAATTCTTGATCGGGGGTGAGGGATGATTTGCGGGCAGGAGGGGACAGGGGTGCAAGCCTCTCTATTTTGGGATTGCCATGGGCAAACGGTGCCATACAGCTTCACAAAGTTGAGGTACATTTGGTAGAGTGACTGTGATCACTACGTAAGTGCTTGTCAGCTGGGTCTGCATGGGTGCAAGGTGCTGTAGGTGGTTCAAAGAGCTTCACTCTTCTCTTTCCTAGTGGTCTGTCGTCCTGAGGGAAAGGTCTGTCGTTGCCCAGCTGAAGGAAATGAAAAGCCCCTGGGGATCTGCAATGTTCCTTCCCCTGTGTGCTGCAGAGGGATACGGAGGGCTGAAGGCTGTGAGATGTGAGGGGCAGGAAGGAGGTGAGCAGTAGGTGGAGGTGTCTGCCCCAGCACCCAGCCAGGGCCTGAACAAGGGGGAGCAGGAAAGGTCTCAGGGGCCTCTTGCTCCCCAGGAGTTCCTCTGTGGTACCCCCAGCCTGCAAGCTACGCTTACGAAGCAGAGAGGAATGCAACCTCCGCGCTGGGTAACCAAAGGCAGATGGAGAGAGGAGGGAGGAATGCGTTGGGGTCAGCGCGGCTGGGCCGCTTCCTTCGCTGCTGCGGTCAGAGCCCTCGGAGGCCGAGGGCTGGGGTGCCAGGACGCAGCCCCCTGGGCCTCCCTGCCTGCCTCCCCCGGGTCCCGCTTGCTCCAGCCCTGGGACAGGAGAGCAGATGTCAGGCTAGGGGTGCAGCTGTGGGGAGAGCCGCTTGTTGCCCGTTGCTCATCACCCATCACCCACGGGAACATCCCACCACAGCTTGACATCAGAGTCGAGGGGAGGGAGGAGAGGTGGATGTTGCCCCCCGTGTACGGCACGGGTCCTGGCCGCTCCACCAGGCAAGCTCACTCCAAGAGGCAGGGGCCTTGGGCTGCAGGCTGTGCAGAAGGGTTAATGCCTTAGGAAGGGGCCGAGCCACACTGCCGCAACATGTTAACCCTTTCCAGGCAGCGCCAGCCGGCGGAAATGGCCCGTGGATACGGGAGTGTGGCAGGATGCGGAGTTCCATGCCCGACCCTTTCTCATGCCTTTGGCTATCCAGGCACTAATTAGTGCCCTCCTGAAGAGGAGCAAATCTCAGAGTAATCCAGCATTGGTAGGCATCTCATCATAGCGAGAGTCCCTATAGATACATTAGGCAGGGAAATCTATTACTCTCTAATTAAATGGAGACAAAAATGATTGTTCTTTTTCTATTCCTTGTATGTTTCAAAGCATAAAACTCAATTAAAGTGTATCCGCAGAAGGGGATTTGCCTACAGCGGGGATTCTCCATTTTGCATATGCTTTTAGAAACTGAGCAAACACCTGGGCCACCGTGGCAGTGCCTCAAATGCCTAGGATGTGGGGGCATTTCAGCGGGTGCCCCATACCCCCCCACCTCCTTGCTCATTGACGTCCTTTGTCTATCTTCTCTACGCTCCCTTTCTTTACCGTACGAAAAAGATGCAGAGCCAGCAGAGACTGGACTTAAAATAGAAAGCCGTCCTCTGAAGGAGGGAGAAATGTGTGTTTTCGGGGCGGGGGGGGAGGTGCTCCGCTGGGTTGCAGAAGCTGGCGTTTGGAGAGGGTGAGGGGTGTACCAGGGGGTGCCCGGCTCCTGCCCCGGCAGTGCCTGGGGCTGTGTGGTCGCTGTGCGGTGTCTGGGCAGAAACGGGGGTGCGTGTGTCCGTGTCCAGGTAGTGCAGCCCTCCCCTGCTCGCCAGGGCTTGTAGGTCTGGAGTTCACTGTCTTTCACCCCAGGTGCGCATCTCGCTGGCCCCTGTTGCAGAGGCAGTCGGAAGGTGGCTTGCAAACCCTGGGTACCGGTCAGGCATCCTGAGCCACCTCTGGTGCTGGTGCATGTGTGACTGTGCCTGCGTCGGGCTGGCGTTTGTACAGCAGGACACCGCCTCTCAGAAAGGGACGCTATCTGTGTCACAGGCATGTAGCCGGGTAGCTCCAGAAAAGAGAGAGAATTAAAGCCAGCCTTAATCTTCTCGGTGTAATTGTGGGCTTAAAGCATCAGCAGGGTGAGAGGAGAGCGGTCCCGGGCAGGCTGGGCTGCGCTGGGCATACCCAAGCCCTCGCTGCGGGACTCCCCCGGCTGAAGGCACCGCGTGTGCAGTGGTGGGGACGCGGTTGGGCACGGGGGCTGGCACTACCCTGCCCAGGCAGCCCTGTCCTGCCGCCGGGACCCCCACCCGGCACCACGCATCCCCCAGCTGCGGCACTGCGGGGCAGGACGGCACCAGCAGTATATCCATATGCACACATGCATACAGAGTGTGCACGGGAGACAGGCGTTTGTGTGTGTGTGTGTGTGTGTGTGGACGGAGAGAGAACGTGCGTGTGTACACAGGTGGTGTAGGTGTATATAGCGTGTCTGTGTACATATAGTGAGCGTGCATATTGTATGTGCATAGATATATAGCACTTACGTAAATAGCATGTGTATGCTGTATGTATCACATGTATATATAGCATGTGCATGTTTATATAATGTGTATAGAGAGTGCGTGTGTATACGTGGTGTGTAAATATAGTGTGTGTGTTTGTATGTAGAAAGTGCATAGCGAGAGAGTGTGTACCATATGTAAAATATATATTTGATTTATTACATGTTCCTACATATTCTGTGTTTAAATGTATTTATAGTGTGTGTATAGTGTAAGTACATATAAAATGTGTGCTCATAGTTTGTTCATATAACATTTCTTTGTGTGTATACACAGCACGTATGTATAAAATGAGTGTGTACAGTGTATATATACACGTATTTAGTATCTGTGTACATAAATAGACTGTGTATATGTGTAAAAATATAGTGTGTGTGTATGTGTATATAAAGTGTGTGTGTGTGAATGGTGTGTGCATATATGTGCTTACATATAAATATATATATACTGTGTGTATGCATGGAGTATGTATGGACATATATCTATATATTTTTATATACGTATTTATAGCAGGCATTATGCGTGTGTGTGTGCCTCCCTCGCACACGCAGAGCTCTCTTGCCTGTAGCTGCAGTGATGCTTCTCTCTGCCGTCTCCCGGCGGGTCGTACCACGCCGGGCTGGGCCGGGCCACCTCTCCCCGCCGCCCCGTCGCTGCGGC